ATGCGCTAGTTAGGTTCATGAAGCCCGGCGAACATCCTAACCGAGATGCCGCCGCCCATGTTCACACTGAGCATTCTGTGGATGTTAAACAGCCGACGAGTGGACAGCAAGAAAAACAACCGACATCCGACGACGACGCCGGATCAGTGTCAAACGATAACGTTCAGGTACATGCGGTGGTCTCTGTAGTAAAAATATCACCCTAAGAATACCCCATTTATATCTTTTTTATCGTTGATGCTCCCTCAAGATAATTCGTCACTTTTATCTCATCGAGCCTGCTGTATGCTTTGTTTCGCAGTTTCAAAAGTCGTTAATGCTATTCAGTAAAGTAGCCAGGACAGTCTCTCTATGCTGTTGTTCATTTTTTACAAGCAGACTTGATTGATACGAAAAGTTAAGACCTCCCATTCTGGACTTTAAATTTTGGAGACAACAGTTTATTAGTGTAATTGTTCTTCTAAAGTCTAAAACATCCAAACTGTAGTTTTCATAACTTGTTGTTGTATTTATATGACTTATAATCTAGTTGTTACGTTTCATCGGATCTGCGTGCATTGCCTTGAGCTTCATCTCAAAAGTAAGCCTTCGTTACCCATGAATTGCATTCTCTGATAGAAAGTCTTAGTGACGCTGACCGTTCATAGAGACCATTGAACACTGCTAGTGCGTCCAACGCTTAACTGTTAACCACTGATCATGAAAGCTGAATTCTAATTAATTTTCACTCCCCCTCTCAGCTACTTGATAGACACATTTTTGCAAACTCGTACATAAGAAGAAAAACTGTTCTGTCTAGCTGTTTCCATTTTGTGGCATAGCCGTTGACTGTTGCCTTTGTGAGCTTTTTTGTTACTGATCGCCTTTTTCTTTCAGAATGGCTTCAGAATGGACAGTTCCTCGCATGAACCGCAACAGGACACTAGTTCCAATGGTGCTAATGGCAGTGAGTTGTCAGCGGATTACCGAAAATTGCCTGCTGACTGGAGGACTCACTTTCCATTGGTTTGTTCAGAGCTCATGGATTTTGTGATTCAGGATTCATCATCGTGTTTTCTTTTAGAATTGGGTGAACTTGATCGAAACAGATCTGAATAGACAGCGGCTGATGCAGACTCAACATCCGCTCAGCGATGCTTACTTAAGTGGAATGCCAGCGAAACGGCGGAAGGTGATCACATGTTATGTTAATTATTGACAATTACTGTAGTACTCAACGAACAAAATATGTTTTATGTAAATATTTATGAAGTAACGTATGAATGTATGAATATTTATGACCTGTATATTCCACATCTTACCGAATTCGCCCGTAGGATACCAAAGACAAGATCTGACTGCTCTTTGCACCGTCCCCTTCGGCTAGACTGAAAATTCGACGTGTCTGAAAACATTTGAGCAAGTCACTGACCCATTGTTTTTGAGTATTAGGTGCCTCTCGCGTCTATTTTTTATCTGCTGCGATCTCTGCGCAGTTTGGAGGGCCTCACTGTGTCGGCGCCTGATCCTTTTTTTTATTCTATCATGCAAGCATAATAATGTGGTTTTTTTCGCCCGAGGATGTCAACTGTCACATGACTCCTTAAAGGTTAAATTTCACGACGTATGGCACAGCCATCTGGTGCTACTTGCATTGCCCAACATAATACTGCTTGTATTAGCGTAGAATAGATATCTTATTTGCCTAGTCAAGCCCATGAGTCTCGTTTTTCTAGAGGCTTCAAGACGTCGAGTTTTCATTAGCTAGAAATGCCGGACATTTTTCCAAGTACAATTCATTTCCTTCAGTAATTCCAGTTGTTACATTTATAATGTATGATACGTATGCGATCGCATGTATAGTGCGATATATGTTAGCATGGTGTTGCATAATTTTGTACATAACGCGTATAGAAACGTGCGCGATTGTGTATACTAGTATATACAGCTGAACATGCTATGCCTCTACTGTGCGCTGGTAACTGTAGCAATCTAGCAATAATTTCTAGATATATCTGCATCATCCACCTGTATGCAGTTCTGTATCGTTATGCGATTGCTCATTATCGGTATATCTTCATCTTCTTCATCTTCCATCGCCGCTTCTCCTTTCGCGTCGCTGAGGTAGACACGTCAGACAGAGCTTCCAACGTTCCCGATCCTATGCCAGACTCTGAGCTTCGGCAAAAGACAAATGGAGTCTGTAACAGACTCTATATTTGTACCAGGTTAATCTTGGCGTCCCCTGGGCTTTCTGCCTGTCAAGTTTGCAAAGAAGAGTTGCTAGCCTTCCTTTCTGGAGGCATTCGCAACACATGCCCAAGCCATCGCAGCTGTGACTTCTCATTCTGGAG